CTTCCAAACCTCCGAAGCGCTTCACTTAAATTATCCCATTTAATTCTCAAAGTAACTCAGTAGATGGTATAGGTACCCTTATTGTGTATTATGCCCTTTTACAGATGAGAAAACTGAGGTTCATTCCTTCAGGTTGGTCAGCACTGGGGTTCAAGCCCATGGAGCCTGGCAGGGCCGGTGACAGCAGTGCCCCTATGGGCCAGGGCAGGGTGAAGGGGGCCCAGGTGGAGCACTCCGCCCGGGGCCCTGGGCACTGGGGCTAAATCACGCAGCTATTAGGACCCTGACCACCAGCAGACTGGGGCCTGGGGGCCTGAGCAGAGGCCCTGTGCACAGGGCAGCAGGCAGGGGCCTAGGGCTGACTGGAGACGGCACTGCGCCTCATTTGCTGAGCAACGTTTGTGTAATTAGACACATTTGGTGCCGCGAGGAGGAGCGGGCTACAGCAGGGCTTGATGGATCGGATGCTCCGCCAGGCTCCGGCCATATTAATCACAGGAGCCAGGGCCACAGGGTCCGCTTTTCTCCCAGGCTTTGTCCCGTTTCTTACCTGGGACACTGAGGGCAGGGGTAAAGGGGTGGGCTCTGCAGCACCCGCCTTGTCCCCTGTGGCCTGGCTGAGGACCCACTGTCCTAAGGACAAAGTGGAGCCACTGGCAGCCCAGATGAGCAGGATGCGGGGACATTGCTGCTGCCCATGGCTGGGTGTGAACAAGACGAGCCCCTCCTTGGCTGGGGAGGAGAGCCTTCGCTCCTCAACCCTGGAGCAGAAGCAAGCACGTCCACCGTGCAGGGCACGACCTGTGGGAGTCAGGACACCTCGCTGAGCCTGTGTCTGCACCTGTAAGCTGCAGATTATAACCATCTCACAGGGTAATCAGGCAGTGAAATAACAGTAGACTGGCTCCGGGGCAGAGCTGGGCCTGCTGCTGGCCCCACACAAATTACTCACACCCCCTACTGTACTCTACTGCACGATGCTAGGCTCGCCACTGGGGTTGCTGATGCCAAATGACTGAACAACAACTCTCAGAGCAGCCCCCTTCCTACGCCCTGGGACCTGAGAATGGGACCTTCTGTGGGAAGAGGGATGTTGCAGATGTTGAGTTCAGGGCTTCCTGGAGGCAATCACAGGTGTCCTTATCGGAGAGGCAGAGGGAGAAAGGACCACAGAGGAGGAGGAAGGCCATGTGCGGACAGAAGCAGGGGCAGAAAAGGCAACGTGATAAGGGGGAGGGGTTGTGAACCAAGGAGATGGATTCTTTCCCGGAGCTTCCAGAAGAAACTGGTTCTGCCAACATCTTGAGTTTAGATCCATAAAACTCACTTCAGACTTCTGGCCTCCAGAACTATGAGACAAATCTGTATTGTTTTAACCCACTAAGTTTGAGGTAATTTGTTACAGCAGCAACAGGAAACTAATACACGGCCCTCCAGTTATCAAGTGAAGTGAGAGAGCCACTGGGCCAGTGAGTGGCAAGACCATTTCCACAGGCCCATCGGCCTGGTCAGACTTCTCCTGCGACCTGCCATCACCACCTACTTCTCCAGGTGCTAGGCCCACATGCGCCCCTCCCTCGTTAGGAAGAAAGCAGGCCTAGAGAGGGACATGCCTGTGTCCAACCCAGAGCTGGTGAGCGGCAAAGCCTGGAGAAGACTCGAGGGTGACCTCCTGGCCACAGCTCCCCACTAGCACAGGGAGGCACAGCACTAGGGGCCCCTCCTTCAGCAACAAGGCTCTGCTTGCACAGTGTTTCAAATCTGAGCTTGCAGCAGAGCATAGGCTTCACCCTGAAGTCTCTGACTCAGCAGGTCTGGGCCGGAGCCTGAGAACCTGCATTCCTAACAGGCTGGGCACCGCTAACGTAGGGGCAGTACCCTAACAAAGGGCAGTACATGCTTTCAAGAAGGATTCAGCTGAACCTGCCCAGAGGTCCTGGGGTCATACACGTGCTCCTTAGAGGCCAGTGTGCGACTGAGGGTCTGGAATCAGAGGCTGGAATTAGATTTCTAACTCTCCCAATCCCTGAGCAGGCGACCTTCATGCTAGTTATTTGATTTCTCTGGGTTGCCTCAGTTCCTTCATCTGTAAAATGGGATGACATGAAATGCACATTTCACAGGGTTGTTGAAAGGATTAAGTGAGATGAAACATGAAGTGTTTCCAACAGTCACAAGGTGAGAGTTAATTTGAGAAATAGCGTTCACACGTCGTGGGGTCTTACACCTCCGTCACTCCCCTAGCTGTGTGGGAGATGTTCCCCTGCAGTGATGAACCTGCATGGATCCCCTCCAGGAGCCCTCAGCACTGACCACGCTTACGACTAGCACTGGGCCCCTTGCAAGGAGCACTGTGCTACTGGCCTGCTGTGCCCAGGATCTGTCACTGAACCACCCAAACATTTCTCAAGAGCAGAAAATCAGCAACTCCAATCCCCTTCTAGATAGGCACTCAGCTCCCTTAGCATGCTTAGGATTCACAGATGCCACAACCGAGCAATTTTCAGGTGACCCACTAGCTCCAAATGTATGCATCTCCCAGAAGCTGCTGTGGCCTCAGTCAGATAAGTGTGGTAGTTGGAAGGCCTGGGAGGTAGGCAGGGAGCTAAAGTGGGTACAAGGCTGCAGCAGCAGGTCCCAGTCAGTGAGAACCAGCTACAAGTACTGAAATAAAATGAAAAGTTCCCAACATGTCGAAAGCCATGGCAGACAATGTCCAAGTCTGGGAAAATTTGAACAACTCAGTAAACAGTGAGAACCAGAGGCTATAACTCATAGACTATCACAAGTAGAATGCCTTTATTTGAAATAAAGAAATGGGGAGAAGGGACAGCTGCTCCTTCCAGGAGAATTCTAACAGAGAAGTGTGGAAGGAATGATGTTAATGGAAAAGCGGCACTTGGCAAAGACTAGTAACTCCTGTGTCGGACCAGAGCCATCGTGGATATTAAAGTTTGCGGGTGACAATAGGAAGAGAAACAGGATATTCACGTATTACCACAGTATCGCCCCATAATTAATCACTACAAAGGGACCAACTTTAACCTGAAGAAACTCACCTGAACCAAGAGATCAAAAGGAATCTGCAGTGATGAGAAATATTGCCTGGACGTGCCCCCGACAGGAAGGGCGCGCCGCCGCTTTCCTCATCAATCTCCCAAATGCATATTCTGAATTTAATCGTAAGGCAACATCAGACAAACCCCAACGGAGGACGTTTTATACAGTAACTGGCCCGTCCTCTTCAAAATGCCAAGGTCATGAAAGAGACTGAGCAGGAGTCCCAGATTAAAGATGACTATGGAGATAAGACAAATGAATGCAAAAGCTGGATCCTGAACCAGAGAAAAAAAGACAATAGCAGGCCCCCCGCCAAATCTGGGTAAGGCCGAGAAGTTAGTTAGCAGCGCTGTTAACGCGTGAGGGAGGGAGTGGGTGAAGTAACGAAGGTATAATGGAAATCTTTGTACTATTTTTGCAACTCTTCTTATGAGTCTGAAATTATTCCAAAGTAAAAGACATTTTTAAAAAGCAAATAAAAGCCCCAGATTTGATTTGTCTTGGGGAGGAAATGTGTGCCCAGTAGTAGGAGTCACCTGAGGGCTGGGACACCTTCTCAGACACCTGCCTCCCGAGGGGCACAGGGCTTGCTTTGGCTTAATAAGCCCTCCGCAGGGATTTACTGACTGCACTCGAACAGGAACTGGGCGAGCGGGGGGGTTTGTCTTCCGTGGGTGGGAGGGTGGAGAGGGCCGAGCGCTCAGCAAACAGTGACCCGCACCTATTACACGTCAGCCACTGTGGGTGCGGAGGTGAGAGGCGGGCAGAGCCTGCTGGGACGCAGGTGTGAATCCTCATTCCCGAGCGAGAGCTGGGTGGGGATCCGGGCAGGCCCACTCAGTGTGTGGGATCTCAGTGCCCGCAGGAGGCGGTGGCTCCTCCCCTGAGGCTCGGAGGGTCTGGCAGAGGGGGCCAGGAGGAGAGGCAGGTCTAGCCAGGCGGGGCACAGGGGCCGAGGCACAGGAAAACGCGACAGGGCTGAGAGGGCTAGAACCACAAACAGCAACCTGGCCAGGTGAGGTGGCTGGGTCAAGAGGGGCCACAGGGCAGCTGATCCTGTGCAGTAGGTGCCCCCAAGGCAGGTGTGGGAGCAGCGGAGATGTTGGGGGAGGGCCTCTTTTCTGACAGCAGACAGATGGGGGAAGCATGGGCGCTGGTCTTCAAGTAGAGACCAAGAAAAGTGACATCAGCTACAGGCCTCAAGAGGTGTAGTGAGCCAGCATGGTGTCTTACTACCTGCGGTCTCAAAGCAGAAGCAGAAAGAGGCCCCAAAGTATAACGTTGAGCTTGTCCTTATAAGTCAGGCGACCCTATAATTCAGCATCCAAGTTGGGACGCCTTAGAGCAGAGGTGGGGAACGTCTGGCCCACGGGCCATATATGGCCCGCAAAATCATTTGGTTTCACCCTGCCAAGGCAACTCCAGGAGGGACTCAAAATTCAATAAATGTAGGAGCTTTTTTCATAGCTAATTTTTAAATTGATAATTTTGTATGGCCCATGAATGTTATAAATAGCCAAATGGCCCTTGGCAGAAAAAAGGTTCGGCACCCCTGCCTTAGGGAGTGACAGGAGTGCCATGAATTATTATGCCGAGACAACATATAGCGAAGGTCACCATACTTACATGGGACCTTTGGCCTGAAGGGGATTCCCACTGCATGGGTGGGTGAAGAGCCCCAGGGTGCTCATGGATTCACCAGGAGAGTCTGTGGCCTTGGAAGGGTGAGGTGCGAGACGGCAGTGTTTCCTTTCAGGGAACCATAGGAGGTGGGGGTTCACATCCCACCCACACATTCACTCGGGGTCCCGGATCAGTGCACTCGTGGGTGGCAAAGGTGACTGCTCAGGACGATGCAGATTGGAAACTCCAAAAAGAAAAAAGCAGGCAAGGTGGTGGATGCTGGCAGCCCGGCTTCCTGGGCAGAGGGCGGAACTTACCCGTGCACGCTGTGGACAGAGTGAGGCTCATAATGGTACCTTCCCTCCTGGTGTCTCATGTCAATCGGTAAGGGAGCATGGAACGCTGGCAAAAGATGCTGCGGCACTGTACAGGGAGAGAGAGACAGGACTTCAAAACCTTTTTCCTCCCTTGAAAAGCAATTTTCAAAGGACTCTAAAGCTCAATGAATTTCAGAGCAAGAGCAGTCAGGACAGGGGGCTCCGAGGTGCACCGGCTATCACACACCCAAGAAGGGGGATGAATAAATAATCAAAGTCGGCCTGAGAATCCTACATCTCTCACATAAAAGATCCCCAACCGCGCTCTTGACAAAGACAAGCAGCTAAGCGCTCTTTGAACTCAGGGAGATTACAGGCTCGGCTGCAAATCAGGGCTGACAGAGCCGACAGGCTTCTGCCCATCCTGGCCTTGGCTGCGTGGCTCCAGCAGCCCCGGGTTATGGCATCCACACAGGCTGGCAGTATTTACCTAGAACCATCTGCGGAGCCAGGGCCCGCTCCAGCTGCAGCCAGCAGACACCTATGTGGGAATGTTAATTCTCCAGCTCTTAATATTAATTACTGACCCTAAGTGCGCTGGCGGTGCCTCCGAGATGTAAATGCCAACGGGTGAGCATCAGTTTCCAGAGGTGAGTCAGCCCCTGTCTGCACTTGGCCTGCCCTCAACAAATCATCATGATAATTGTAGGATGCTCTTTGCTTATTAAGAAAAAATTCCTGGGTACCCTGGAGGCAAACATAATTATAGGTGCTAGGAAAACAAGGCTCTTTAAAAAGTAGTTAGACTGGGAAAGGGCTAAGAAGTGGAGATTTCTCCGTCAACTCTCACTCGGGAGGAAGGCTGCAGGCCAGCCGGAGTCACGCTGAGTCTGAACTGCTGACTAGTTTAAAGAGACGCGGACGGTTTATTTTCCACACACACCGGTCAGCAGCCTGCCAGTCCGGCCGTAATAAATGCACACAAACAATGCTGCTAACCATTTCTGTGCAAACAGATTCAGGTACCGTACTGTAAACACTATCAATTCTTTTATTTTATTGTGGTAAAATACATATAACAGAAAACTTACCACTTTAATCATTTTTAAGTGTACAGTACAGGTAAGCACATTCATGTTGTTGTGCAATCTTCACCACCATCCATCAGAGGATGTCTTTCATCTTCCCAAACTGAAACCCTGTACCGACGAAAAACTCCCTGTCTTCCCCTCCCCCATTGCCCTCCCTACCCCTGGCCCTGGTGACCACTGTCCTATTTTCTGTCTCTACGAATGTGACTCATATGAGTCGAATCACACAGTATTTGTCCTTTTGTGTCTGGCTTATTTCACTAGGATCTTGTCCCCAAGGTTCATCCATGATACCATGTGCCCGATAGATATACCACGTTTTGGTCATCCATTCATCCCTTGATGGACACTTGGTTTGAATGCTCTGAACTCTAAACATCAGGAAACTTTTCTCCTGACATTTAAACTTAGATTTTATATATTCAATTTTACCTTCATAGTTCCACAATACTGGCATCTTCCATGGGGACTGGGAACAAAGAAAGCCAATCTTCTCACCCTGATTAAATCAATTTGCCAAACCCAGACTCCAGAAATCTTGGGCTCAAAGGGGAATTGGCCTCCATAAACGGAGGGCCAGCACTGGCCTGCTTCCACACAAAAGACACACTGGGCTTTCCAGAGCCCCCAGGGAAGTCAAGCGGGGAAGCAGTGCTCACATCCCAGAGGTGCAGGAGGGCCCGTGTGGTGTCTTTAATGTGGCCAGGCAGACCAGATCACAGTATTATTAATAAGTAAACATAGTTTGTTTTTGTGTATGTCTGAATGTTTCCCTGCATGTCCAAAAGCCCCCTGGGGGAGCCAAGGTGGGCGTTAATGCACCCATTTCACAGATGAGAAAATGGAGGCCAAGTATGATTTTAGCTCCAAGTCACAGGGCTGAAAAATGGTAGAGCCAGGAGGAGAATCCAAAGCCCCGGACGGCTGGTCATGGCTGCAAGCCCCTGGTGCAAGGGGAATGCCTAGGCCTCCCGTCACCACCTGGCTCTTGTATTGTATTTAACAAACGCACACAGTACCGGCCCTGCTCTAAGCACTTTGCAAATATCAACTCCTAGGTCTTCACAGCAATCTTGAGCTGCATTCACCCCAGAATCCCTGGTTTTCCCACTTGCCATCCCCCAGCACCCTGTGAGCTTTTCTCCCCCGTGTTTTACCTGCAGGGTTGCAATACCTCCCCAACCAGGGCCCCACCTAATCAGCTGTGAGCACCCCACCCCCCAACCAAGGCCCCACCTAACCAGCTGTGAGCAGAGATGTTTCTCTGTGCAAGATTAATGCAACTTCTTCAGGTCTAAAGAGCTCCGACATCCACAGGAATGGAGTGCTCACGCTAGTTTACTAGGCAAACATGAAGTGGAGTGGCGCTGAGGCTGACCTGGCTGCTCCACAAAACCGGGTGCCTGTGTGTGCACGCACGGCGGGGGGGGCTTCTGGAAGAGACACGAGGGACAGCCATCCCCACAGTCCCACTGCAACCTGGTCTGCTCTTCTTTCTGCCTGGTCCCTGGGGAGAAAGCTGTGGAGGTTCCAGGGGAAGCGGCTTTCGCTTTCTCAAGTTGGGGTGGCAGATCAGGACCTCGGCAGACCCTGCTGCCCTCCAGGCAGCTGAGGCCCATGGAATGAGTCGGCGGCAGGGCCTCTGGCCACAGCCCTGCACCCCTCATGTTACCTCTTGGAGTCCCCAGGAGGAGCCCGGGGACACGCGTCAGGGCTTCCCTCCGTGCAGGCGCTGCTGCGTTAGGTCAGCCAGCAGCCCGAGCACAGCC